CCTTCCCCTCCAGCCTCCCGTCCACCCAGCCCCCACTCCCAGCGTGCCGCTGGTGAACAGAGCCTTCTCCGAGCGCCTAGCTCTGCCCCGTCTGCTCTCCAAGCCCGGCTCTCTGGCGAGGCACGCAGCAGGCCTTCTCAGGTTCACTGCTTTTAGGGAAATGGGGGAGAAATGGGGGGCTGTCACTGAGTAATTAAAAACAGTTCTCTGGGGCTTCAGTGGGACCTGCGGCTTCTCCCCTCCCTGCAGCAGCTGGGACACCAGACTCGCCCTCGGGTCCCTCCTGACCTGCCCCTCCCCCAGGAGCCTATGGTGGGGCCTTTTGGGGAGCGGAGGAGGGCCAACGGGTGGGACACCTTGGGAAGCTCCAAAGGGCGGCTCCTCAGCTCCCAGGCAGGGCTGTGGAGTCCAGGGTGAGAGGAGACGTGGACGGAGTGACTCAGGCCACGGTGAAAAACACCTGGAGAGGCAGCTGCTCAGAGCAGCCGATTAGGGGGTTGGAGGGGTGAAGGGACGGGGAGGGGGAGGAGGAAGGAGAGACCAGCAGCCAGCAGTGCGGCCCCAGGCCCGGCCGTGCTGCCCACGGGCCTGGCACCAGGGAGCTGCCCACCCCGCAGCTCGAGACGCGCCAGCACAGCGCCGGCACAGACACGTGAGCGGCTGGCCACTGGATGCCCGTTTCCATGGAGACCAGCTCTCCCGCTGCTTCCTTCCTGTTTGCTTGTCTCCCCTGGGGGGGTGCGAGGGGAACAACATCTATAAGTGTGTCAGCGAGCCTGCCCAGACTGCGGAGGGAAACCGCGGCCTTGGCCACAGCTTTCAGCCCCTCTGACCTCCCGGCACCCAGCACCCCCCGCAGCCCTGACGGGACCCCCAGCACCGAGCCCCCACCGAAGCCCTGATGGGACCCCCACCACCCAGCCCCCCTGAAGCCCTGGTGGGAACCCCACCACCCAGCCCCCCTGAAGCCCTGGTGGGAACCCCAGTACCCAGCCCCTCCCCTGCAGCCCCAGCAGGGCCCTCCACCACCCAGCCCCCTCCTACAGCCCTGATGGGACCCCCAGCACCCAGCCTCCCCCCTTGCATCCCTGGCAGGGCCCTCCACCACCCAGCCCCCCCTGCAGCCCTGGTGGCACCCCCACCCACCCCTCGCCAGCTGTCCGGGCCCTTCATCCCACGTCTCCCTGTGAGCCCAGCAGGCCCTCGTGCCAGAGGCCGGGGTCACGGTTCTGAAGCCCTGGGCCCGGCCCTGCCCGCTCACACTCGCGTGCTGCTGAATCACTTGAAAAACACGCCCATCCTGGGAGGCTCTGCCGAGAACACTGGGGCTTTGTGGAGGAAGTGCCGCGCTGCATTTCCTCCGCCAAGACCCCGGGAGCCGCCAAGCTCAGCCCCGTGAGCGGGAGGGGACGGGGGGGCACGAGGGAGTACGGGTGCCCCTGCCGCCCCTCATCCCCCCACGTGCTGGGGAGGGGACACCGCCGCCACGGGTGGGCTGTAACCTTGAGCAGGTCACCCATCTTTCCAGGCCTCTGTTCCGTATCGGGAGCCAGCCCTTGACAGCGAGGCCGGTGTCTTGGGCCTTGGGGGCACTGAGGAGCTCCAAGGCCCGTGGCCCGTGGGCCGAACCCAGTGGCTGCATTTCTCAGAGACAGGGAAACAGGGATCCCGAAAGCGGTGCTCTAGGTGGCTCACGGCCCGCTCCTCCTGCTGTTCCTGGTTAGCTTAGCCTTGCGAGCGAGAGCCCGCGTCTACCAGCCCATCTGCCTCCCTAAGCTGGGAATATATGGCGGCATCCAGACAGCACAGACCCTCTGCTTCCAGCCTGGGAACAGGGCGGGGCTGTTACAGGAACCTTAGCACCCTACACTGACATTGCAAAGGGGCATGGGGGTGAGACTCTGGCACTGTCTTTTCAGACCGAAGTCAATTCTGACTCATGGCAATCCTGTGCGCTGCAGAGCAGAACTGTGCTCCATACGGTTTCCACGGCCGTGACCTTTCAGAAAGGAGTCCTTGTCGTGCCTCGAGCCCTTGTGGCAGTGGTTAAGCACTCAGCTGCTAACTGATAGGCTGACAGTTCGAACCCACCAGCTGCTCCACGGGAGAAAGATGGGGCAGTCTGCTTCCGTAAAGGTTACAGCCTTGGAAACCCTATGGGGCAGTTCTACTCTGTCCTATAGGGTCGCTATGAGTTGGAATCGACTCGTCGGCAACCAGTTTCAGGTGTACAAAGGCAGGGTACCTGGCTGGGCGTTGGGGGAGAGGTGCTGGGGGAGACTGACCTGCGAGCAGCAGGGACCCGCGCAGGGTCACCGCCATGCCACCGCTCACTCGCCCAGCCAGTCCCAGCGTGAAATGCAACCCTTCCTTCTCCTGGGCTGGCACCTGTCTGGCCCTGCTGGCCTGCCCCTGCCCTGGCACCACCAAGTCAGCCACGGAGGCCTTCCTGATTCAGTCCCTGAGGCTGGGGAGCAGGACCCCCGAGGCAGGGATGCAAGGAAGGTCCAGACAAGGAAGGAGCTAGTAATGCAGGGCGGGGTGGGAATAGGGTAGGGAAGTCGTTCGGGGGGCGGGGGGCTGGAACATTAAAGGTGAAAAGCACACAACCGCTGGAAAGTTCTAGAAAACACAGTGTTCAGAGAGGGAGGGCCCATGGGGGGTGGAATGAAGATAAACACCACGTCAGGAGCCTTGCTGCGCACCTGGCAGGACCTCATGGAAGGTTCTAGAACGTGTGCTCCTCCAGGCGGTGTGGTCTCCTGTTTGCAGTAAGTGGGGGCTGGGAGCAGCGGGGTAGCTGGCCCACGAGGACATGGATCCAGGTCAGACCCCTAAGCCCATCATCCTAGCCATTCTGCTGTGCCTATTGCTCCAGGGAGGATTTAGGGGGGCAAGCAAGGCACTCAAGGGGGCCAAGCAGAGCCCCCCTCCATGCAACTGAGTCAGGAATGGAGGCGGCGGTGATGAGAGACAGGTGGAATCTGGGGACCACGGGTAAGAGGGGAAGTCAGAGACAGTTAACACCCTGCCCAAGGACACCGAGCTCTTGTCAAGGGCAGAGCTACGACTCAACGCCCATTCCAGAGTTGTCTCTCCATGACATCACGCTGGCTGCTGGGGGCGCAGCTGAGCACACAGAGCCAAGGCCGAGTGAGTCAGGCTCTTAGCTGCCCACACCTCCCTTCGTTTTTTTCCCCTGATCAGAGTCTGGCCAGGACAAGGCGGACAGAGAGGGGGAGCAAAGACAGGGGCTGCCAGGACACCCCATCCTCCTCTGGATACCACCGAAGGATGGCAGTGGAAAGTTACCCACAAAGCCCCCGCAGGGAATCACTGGAGGGCCATCTTTTTTTGGGGGTGGGGGCCTGGTTGGCTGTTTCATTACACACCTCACTGGCCAGGGCAGAGAAACACCAGCCCTTCTGCGGAGCAAGTGGGAAAGGGCAGGGGGTCTCGTCCCACAGCAAGGGGACAGCGTAGCTGTGACCGCAGGCAGAGCTGAGTCACCCTCATCACGCCTCGCTGCCCGTCCCCGCACCTACTTTTAGCTTTAGTGGGGACGAGAAGGGGGATTCCTCACCTAGAACACACGGGCACAAATACTACCTCCAAAGTGAAAACGACGACACGAGGAGGCTTGTCCATTCATTAGACTGTGGCTTCCCGGCTGAGCCAGGAGACCTCAGTCACCCAACGTCTTGGCCGCACCGTAGCCACGGCTTCAACCCCAGCGATGCCCACAACGCCCTCTCCGCCCTCGCAGACTCAGGTGGGGGCACACTGACAGAGGAGTGTGCCAGGTAACCTCCTGTGTCACGCAATGGTGCCCCCCACTTGGACTCAAGGCACTGGGCTGGCTCCACGGGTTACCACCGTGTCCTCCGCCCCCAAGCATTTGCCTTCGGCTTGGGAATGACAACAGCCCTCCTGACCTCAAGGTTTCTTTCCTAATCAGGCTGGGCTTAGATCGAATTGTTGGGAAGATTTGCAACCCTAACCCGTGACATTCCAGAAGCAGATGACAGAAAGAAAGCAGGCTGGGATGAAAACACTTCTTGAGGACTCGACCTCAAGTGGAAAATCAGACGCAGATACTGGAAGCCTATGTGATGAAAACATGCGGATGCAGGAGGCTCCGGACCCAAGCTGCTCATGACTGAGAAACAGTCATGGGTGCTGGCCCTCTCCATACGGTGAGCACCATGTTCGGTGGCTGCTGGGCTCCCCAGGGACACGCACATGGGGACAGTGACCTCACACCTCATCATGCCACCACCTGACTATATATTTTACTTAGTGCTACAGACTGAATTATGCCCCTCCCCCAAATATGTGTTGGAATCCTAACCCCTATACCTGTGGATGTGGTCCTGTTTGGAAAGAGGGGTTTCTTTGTTCTTAATTTGATCATCAACCCAAAATCCAAACCTGCTGCGGTCTCATAGTGATCCCATGTGACACAGCAGAGCTGCCCCACAGGGTTTCCAAAGCCGTAATCTTTACGGGGCACCCTGGTGGTGCAGCGGTTAAGAGCTCAGCTGCTAACCAAAAGGTCAGCAGTTGGAATCCACCAGCCGCTCCGTAGAAACCCTATGGGGCAATACTACTCTGTCCTATAGGGTCGCTATGAGTTGGAATCGACTCAACGGCAACGGGTTCAGTTGGGTTTTTTTTTGGAATCTTTATGGAAGCAGCCTGCCACATCTTTCTCCCACGGAGCAGCCGGTGGGTTTGAACTGCCAACCTTTTGGTTAGCAGCCAAGCATTTAACCACGGCACCACCAGGGCTTCTCGGTGAGAGGATACAAAAACCAAACCAAACTTGTTGCCGTGGAGTCAATTCCGACTCATAGCAACCCTACAGGACAGAGTAGAACCGCCCCACAGGATTTCCAAGGAGCTGATGGTGGATCTGAACTGCCAACCTTTTGGTTAGCAGCCAAGCTCTTAACCACTGTGCTGCCAGGGCCCCAGGGGTAAGAGGATAGATCCCCAATATAATATTGACCCAGTGGTCTCCGAGCAGATGGCAAAAACACAGACATTACAGACAACAGCAGTTTTGACAAAGCACCCAGCTATCGGTTATGTTTTTGTTGTGGGTGGGACTCTTGCTGTTAACATATCTTCTGAAACTCTTGCAAGCGCTTCCTGGCTTCTTCGAGGAACTGCTTGTGTAACTGATTTTGCTCTAGAATCTGCAGCTGAAGGTCCCGTAGCGTCTGACCGTGCCTGCTGTCGTCAATGATGCTGACACCCGAGGGGGAAGCGGTGCTGGGTCCCTGTCCTCCCTCCGGCCCCTGGGCGTGAGCGGGCAACGGCTTCAGGCGCACCTCCCTCTGCTCGCTGTCCTCGCCCTCCAGCTGAGCCTTCAGGACGATTTCCAGCTTCGTCTTCCGGTGTCCCGTTTGCTCAAGCAATTCCAGCTGCTCTTGTCTCCTCCGCTCCATCTCCGGGGTTGGCACTGCCCCCATCATGCCCCCTCCATTGGCGTGCTCTTGAGGGTGCAGCTGATGGGTGCCCTCTGCCAGCATGACTGTTTCGGGGGGCTCCTGTCCAGATTCCAAGGTGCACGAGAGCCAGTTCTCCTCAGTGACAGAGACCTCTGCCTCGGGAGATGGGGCTTTGTCTCCGTTCTTAAAACTGGCTTTAGACATTTTGTCTTTCTCTTCAAACACGCACTTAGCCAACCTACGATAATTTTGGTTCTCCATCTTGTCTAGCAATTTCTTCAAGTTGATTTTGGAGGGTGTCTGGTAGGCCCGCATGGGGTCCCTGGGTTCCCTGGCGGGCACCGTCTCTGCCTCTAGGGTCTTCTCCCTCTGGGCCTCCCTTCCAGGCTCTTGTACCTCAGGGCAGCCTGGTTCCCCACCGGGGCCCTGCCCCTTTCTCAGCCACGGCTCCAGGTGCCGACCCAGGCGGTTTTTCAGCTTTCTGTTTGTGTCAACCAACTCTTCGAAGGTAAACTCAAGCTCTCTCTGCCACTTCTTCCAGACCTCGTGCTTGCCCAGGGGCCCTGCTGACACGGCTCCCCCTCTGTGGGTCGAGCCAACGGGCCACAGCTGTTCCAGACCTTTCCATCTGCCCTCTGGACTTGAATCCAGACGGTTGTGTTTCAGGCCTTGAGAGAAAGAAGCGGCCTCCTTCTCCAGCTGTCTCCTCCCATCCCGGGTTTCCTTTTTCCCTCTCTCCTCTGAGCGCCTGGTTTTGTCAGGATGTGCATACAGCCTGTCTACGCCCGTCCCTTTCCTCACCCAGGGGTCCAGGTGCTGATGGCCCCCGCTGGTCTTCACAGACGACCTCTGCTTGCCTTTCCTCTTGTCAGGGGCACTGGGGAGAGGCCGGGTCACACCTGTGACTTTGGCAGCACCCTGCTTTTCCGTGCCCGCGGCCTTCTTCCGGGACTTGGTGTGCCACGCAGGCTGTTTGGTTGGGTCCAGCCCTCTGATGGCTGCTCTGTGCTTCTCCCTGGCCCTCTGCTGCCTGGTGGCTGCTCGCTGGACGGGTTCCTCCCAGACCAGCTGGCTGTCCTCTGCACATCCGCCTCTCATGCCCAGCGGATGTGCTAAGTACAGTCGCTCCAGGTCTCTGACCTGCTGCTTCTGGATCTCCTGCCACTCGGCCTTGAACTCCTTGGCCAGGCGCTGGAGCTGCTGTTTTTTCCATTGCCGGAGGTCTTGTCTCTGCTTCTGCCTCAGAAGTAAGGCCTCGTCATCGGGGCAGGGAGTCAGCCAGCCAGCTCGCTCTAGATTTCTTTTCATTCTGAGCACTTTGCAGACACAACTTCCGGGGGAAGGTGGTTTGAGCCCAGAGTGGAGCTAAAGGGGCCTGGGTCTGGGGAGCCACAGACGCCACGTCAACTCCACGCCAAGCCTACAGGGACGGAAGGATGCACACCGCTTTCTGGAACGTTCCGAGGGACTGAGCAAGGCCCTGCAGACAAGGGCACATGGGATTCTCAATACAGGGACACATTCTAAAATGCATCCTTCCAGATCTTTCCCCACACCCCACCCGAAGGGCCATTCCCTTCTCCCAATTTCTGTCACCCACATCTTTAACAGGATCCTGTAGGACAGGGCTTCTCAGCAGGGCTTGACTTTGCCTCCCAGGGGACTTCAGCCGTGTCTGGAGACATTTTTAGTTACCACAACTGTGGGGGGGGTTAGTGCTACTGGCATCTAGTGGGTGGAGGCCAGGGACGCTGCTCAGCCTCCTACAGGGCATGGGAATGATCCAGCCCCAAACGTCAACAGTGCCAAGGCTGAGAACCTGCCCCAGGAGGCATGTCTTAGGACTCGTGTGTGCGCGAAAGGGTGCAAACAAGAGCAAGACATCTCGTGGCAGCGAAGGAGACCTCTGTCCCTCTGAGAGACGCTACTTATAAATGTGAAGAAAGAGAGTCTGCTGGGCAGGGTGTGTGCAGATGTGCGTGTGTCGGGTGGGAGTGTGTGTGCGCGAATGTGTTATGTATGTGTGGGGTGTGGGGTGTGTGTGTGTGAATGTGTTGTGTGTGTATTAATGTGCTGCGTAATGTGGGAGACGTGTGTGTGAGTCTGTTACATGTATGTGGGGTGTGTGTGAATGTGTTATGTGTATGTGGCGTGTGTGTGAGTGTACTGTGTGTTTAACGTGTGAGATGTGTGTGTGGTGAGTGTGAATATGTTGTGTATGTGGTGTGTGTGTTATGTGTGTGTGAATGTGTTACGTGGATGCGGGGTGTGTGTGAATGTATTATGTGTGTAATGTGTGAGCTATGCGTGTGAGTGTGTGTGTGAGTCCACTGACGTCAATCTAATACAAACCAATCAGAGAGGAGGATAAGCTGGTGTTACTTTTTTCCTCTGACCCTCCCCCACCTTGGGTAGCTATTGGAGGACGACCCTTTTCCAGATCCCTCTGGCCTTAGGAAGGGGCCCGTGCTCCACCAGGCCTCCCCGGGGCGGGGGCGGGGGTGTTTGCATGAAGAGTCCGGGGTCCCTTCTGTTGTCACCTGCAGCTACTGTCAACGCTGCCCGGTTTGTGGGATGAAGGAGATGCTTTCTGGAAAGCTGCAGCCACTGCGGAGTTATGGGCAGCACCCCAGCTGCTCTCCGCTCCCATTTCGGCCTATCTGAGTCCAGGCTAGGCAAGCTGAGCCAAAAGCAGTCAGTGTAGTCAGATAACAACACCGTGTCGATCTAACCACTAATGTTGGCTGTGCAGACTCCCCTTCGAGCACTTCACAACACTGGGTCATCTTTACAGTAGCCCTTTGAGGCAAGGAGCTACAGTCAGCCCTGTTTCACAGGTGGGGAAACTGAGGTAGGGAGCGATTAGGAAAGTTGACCAGATCACACAGCTGGCAGGAGGCACAGTCAGGACCCTCCTCCACTCAGGTACAGCACAGTGCCCCCAACTAACCTCCACTGGTCCTGGTGCCACCAGCTCTGACTAAGTGTCTTCTGGTGGGGGACCCTTCCAACTTTTGGTAAATCAGAGCATGCAGTCATACACTGAGAACAGTGGTTCATAGTATATTCCACTAGTATACCAACCATCATGATGAGAAAAGAGGGGAGAGAGGAAGCTGAGGCATTAAAGCAATGATTGAGATTTTCAACAAAGGAACCCCAGCAAGTCAGTGGGGGAAAGAACAGTCTTTTCAATGAACAGTGCTGGGACAACTGGTTATCCTAACGTCCAAAGATAAATTTAGACCCTTACCTCATACCATACATAAAAACTAACTCAAGATGGATTGCAGACCTTAATGTCAGGTCTAAAATTACAAATGTTGAGAAGGAAACATAGGTGTGAGTCTTTGCGACCTTGGGTCAGGCAAAGGCTCCTTAGGCACAGCACCAAAGCAAGAGCGATAAAAGCAGAGATTGAGAAATCGGAATTCATCCAAGTTAGAAACTTCGGTGTTTCAAAAGACACCAGAAAGAAAGTGAAAAGGCAAGCCACAACCCGGAATAAAATATTTTCCAATAAAATACGCAAGAAACGACTTGAATCCAGAATATATAAGTAACTCTTACAACTCAAAAATAAGCACACAATCCAATTTTTAAAATAGGCAAAAGATTTAAATAAAGAAGATGTGTATAGCTAATAACACGGAAAAAGATATTCAACATCGACAGTCATTAGGGAAATGCAAAATAAAGCTTCAGTGACATAGCACTTCACATCTGCTAAGATGGCTACAATCAGAAAGGCAGACAGTAACAAGTGTTGGTGAGGATGTGGAGAAACTGGAACCCCCAGACACTGTTGATGGTGTGAATGCTTTAGAGAAACAATTTGGCAGTTTCTTAAAAAGTTAAACATAGATGTGCCATATGACCCAGCAATTCCGAGAACTGAAAACACATGTCCACACAGAGACTTGTACACAAATGTTCATAGCAGCGTTATTCATAATAGTCCCAAAATGGAAATTACCAAAATGTCCATCAACAGAGGAATGGATAAATAAAACGTGGCCCATCCATACAGGGAAATATGACTGAGCCCTAAAGGGGATGAAGTCCTGATATACGCTACAACACGCATGGACCTTGAAACCATCACGCTGAGAGAAAGAAGCCAGACACAAAAGCCCTCATATTGTATAATTCCATTTACATAAAATGTCCAGAGTAAGCACATATAAAAAGACAGAAAGTCCACTAGTGGTTGCCAGGGGCTGGGGGGCAAGGAGGGTGGGGAGGCCAAAGAGTAACTGCTGAGTGTGGGGTTTCTTTCTGGGGTGATGAAACATTCTAAAATTAGACTGTAGTGATAGTTACGCCACTCTAAATTTACCAAAAAACACGGAATGACGCACTTAGAATGAGCAAACTTTCTGGTATATAAGTCATACTCAACAAAACTCCTTTTTTAAAGCGATTAAGAGATCCAAGGACTCATTAGGAAAAATAATTGGCAAATCTGCTCAGAGCTGTGCTGCTCCACATTGAGAGCTCACCCCTGAACTGGCTGTGTCCCCAACGCCCATTCCAACAAGGGGGTCCTCCTTATACCCAGAATTCCCTCGGGAAGGCCCTGCCCAGCTCCTCCCCGGGAAAACTGGATCTTGCTTCAATAATAGATTTTTCATTAGTTGCTAGTTTCAGACTATGTGTCTGTATCAATATCTGTATTTTTTCTTTCACACCATTATAAAACAAACAAACCAAACCTTTGCAGTCAAGTACATTCCGACTCATAGTGACCCTATAGGACAGGGTAGACTGCCCCATAGGGTTTCCAAGGAGCAGCCAGTGGATTCGAACTGCCCACCTTTTGGTTAGCAGCCGAGCTCTTAAGCACTGCACCACCAGGGCTCCCGTAGTCATCCCTCTAAAATTCCGCCTATTGGTTTCACCAGTGCTGATACAGGACTTGATGCTCACTGAGTCCCTCACAACATTAACCTTTCTATAAATTTACGATCCTTCATAAACAAAAATAACCCAGTGCTGTTGAGTCAATTCCAACTCATAGTGACCCTAAGATCCTTACAATGAATAGTTATTTTCAACGCTGCCCGCTCTCCCTACAAGGGCAGAGGGCCACCTAGGGCCAAATGTTTGAGCCACTGCAGCTTGTCTGGGGGAGGGAACAGACCCACGTGGGTCTTTCTCTGCAGGCGAAGGGTCTGTCAGCAGGGGAGACTAAGAGGGAGAGGTGTGGGGAGCTGTGAAATTCCCTCTGTCCGTCTTGGAAGATCCCAGGAGAGAACTGGATAACCATGTCCCGAGACCCGAAAGTCTACATCCGTGTCTGGAGCCACCAACCCGTTATTTAGTACTAGGCGGCAGTGACGGGCCTCTCCTGCTCCAGAAGTGGCCCCAGTCCCTTCAATGACCCCTTCATACTGCACCCTGTGCCCAGCAGGGAGTGTCCCCACCACTGCAGAGGGGGCTCCCCAGCAGACATGCAAATGGACGAAACACTTGAAACATTCGGCAGGATGTCTTTGGGATAAAGCCCTGAAATAAGAGGCAGCTCCGTAACTCAGGAACGGGTAAGCCGACAGCGCTCCTCAGCCCCGTCCTTGCCCGCCTGCCCCACCAGTCTCCTCCGTGGCCACCTCTGAACCCTTCTCCACCTGCTCATTCGAGACCAGGGAACGGGGTGTCACTCCTCACCTCGCCTCTTGGTGGCCCTGGCAGGAGGGAAACTAAGGCCTGAGTTAAGCCTCAGTCCACTGAGGTGCTGGATCTGGACCAAGGGTTGGGGAGCGGCCTCCTGCTCCAGCCCGAGCCCCGATAAGGCAACCATTATGGTGGTTAACTTTGTGGGTTCCCTTGGCTAGGCACTGGCGCCCAGGTGTTTGGGCAAACACTAGTCTGGTTGTTGTTAAGTAAAGCAGATGACCCACCATGATGTGGGTGGGCCTCGTCCAATCACGTGAAAACCTTAAGAGCAAAAAGGGAGTTTTCCCAGGGTGTGTTCTGCCTCTAGACAACAAACAGACATTTTGCCAGAACTCCCCCAATCTGTCCATCACCTGACCTAGGGGTTTTGGGACACAAAACTGCAGAAATCTCCAGCCTGCCACCTGACCTATGGATTCTGGACTTGCCAGCCCCCCACAATCACATGAGCCAATTCCTTACAATAAATCAATATCTATCTATCTATCTATCCCTATCTATCCATCCACCCATATGCATCCATCCATCCATCCATCCATCCATCCATATCTCACTGGTTCTGTTTCTCTAGAGAACCCTAAGACACCCACATAACAGACTGACCTCTGTGTCTGGCCTGTCCTCCAGGCCCCAGGTGTCCCAGCCCTGCAGATAGGCTGCCTGGGGCCCCTGGCAGGACGCCTTCCAGGAAGAGCTGTGATTTCTGATTGGGGCCCTCTCCACTGCACGCCTCTCCAGAGATACCGTCCCTGTCTGTTTGCTGGGCAGAACATTCCAGACTCTTGGCAGGGGTCCTGAAGCTCCTTTGTCCCTCTTGCCCTCCTGTGCCCCTCACACCCTCGTGGAGCTTGCGTCTGGCCAGGGACAATGCTCTGAGCACTCTGGGTTCTCTCTCTGCCCCCCTCCAAGTGTCCCCGCTCCAACCCTGGCCCTGCTCGTCCCAGAGCTGACCGCTGCCCTGTGCTGCCATCTATAAAACACTTAGGGAAGCCACCGTCTCCCCTTCCCCCAAAAAGCCGCACTCACAGCAGCAGACGGAAGGTGGCAGCCCGACCTCCCCCAGGGCCGAGTGGACACGGCCGAGTCTCCTCTCCGAGGCTCTGCGGCCAGCCAGCGGGCCCATGCCCAGGCAGTCACTCACAGAGCGTTTCTACAGAAGCAGATCCCCCCCCACATACCCACCTCCAGAGAGGGACCCTCCTCACAGGCAGGCGGGACAGGGAAAGTGGCCACCAGCCTCGTCACTTCCTCCCAAAGGAGACCCCAGCCCACCACGCCCTCTGGGGACCTAGGCAGAGGGGTCAGAAGCGACAGTGAGCATCGCGATCGAGGGCTGGGTGAGGAATCGGAATCAGGGCACCGCAGTGAGCCGGGCTGGCTCGGGATGCAGGATATGGGGTCACCT